TTGTCTTGTTTAGCTCAACTTTAATTTTAGTTTCTGTTTTGGAAAACAAGCCAAAACAAGAGTCTTCTCTAGAAACAGCTCTGAACTCCAGCCTGACTCAAATGCATCAGTGGCGCCTGACAGTTTGGCTTCTACTTTTTTCCCCTCTCCCTTTTTGGCACTGCCTTTCTCACCATCTGCCTGTTACTCTTTCCCAGGGAAGAGCCTGACCTTTCTGAATCATCAGGTTAATGACAGCTCATTACTGCACCTGTGAACCAGGTTATAATTAACCACTTTGGCCAGACTTGGTCGGGGAAGCTCAGAGGTGCTGGGCAGGTCTGCACACCCCCTGGGAAGCCTCATCCTAAAAGTAGATTGTGTTGAAGCAGCCAGCACAGCAAGAGAGCAGGAATCACTTTCTTTACCAGTTACTGAGGTATTCTTCAAGCCAGAGATCAGCGAGAAGGCTACATGAAAGAAAAACTGCCAGCAATAAGTACCTCTACCACCACCCCAAAAGGGCATCCCTTCCATTTAAGCCTCCTGTGAATGAATAAGCTGTGTTTATTCCCCAGGGATCACCCTTTCCACCCAGCAAAAGCATGCAAGAGGTAAAGCTAACACATCATCATGCTTAGACGGAGTCATGGTTATAATATCAACACTCCCAGCCTAAAGCACATGCTGGTGAGAATGTGCAAGAGGCAACTAGAGCCAGCAGAGCAGACAAACACAGGGTGCTGCTTCTGGGAATGCACTGGGTCAATGCACTGGGCCAGTCCCTAGGCCCTGGTAGTGTTTGGTGGTTGGATCCCACTTCGCTCTGGCACTGAAGCCTTTCGGGGCAGCCCCTTGTGTGCTGGCACAAGGGCAAGTTGTGCAATGTCAATATGTGCATATTTATGTGCGTGAAGATGTGTGCCTACAAACAAAAATGGCATTGGTTACTGGCATAAATCATTGCCATTGAATATATTTGTATGCATACATAAATGCACCTACATACAAGCCCACACTTAAGCCAGGGAAGCATGAATGTTGGAGCTACTCGTGAGCAGCAGACGTGTTAATATTCAAAACTGACGAGCACACGCTGAAAAAGCCTCCGTGCCTTGCTGAGCAATGGAAGTACCCTGAGCAGTATTATTTCTGTGGCTGAAACTACGACATAGAAGTTAGTCTTGACCCTGAACTGCGAGCTCTTTATCTTGCCCTCACCAGCCGTTTGGGTTTGGTGCAGCCTTGGCCTTGCATACCACTGCCAGGGCGGAACAGCACATGAATCAAAACAGGCTCTAAGAATTCGGGTCAAAGACTCGAATCACTGCAAACAATTCCCCCAGCTCCCAGTCTCCTCGTAGCCACATTAACAGTTATTTCTTCAGACTTACTCAGCGTGCAGAGTTCACAGGCAACCCATCATTTCTGACAGCTTTCGGGAAGCCAGGCATAGCTCTTCTGTTAGTTACTGCTGCTCACAGGAACATCCAGAGGATGCACCTTCCAATCTCCCAAATGTAAATCACACATAAAGGAGTTGCTTTTGCAGCCTAAAGACAAATGAGCCTGGTACACACAGGAGCTGCCACAAAGCAGAGTTAAATTGTTTTCAATGCCCCTGTCATTAAAATACACCACCAGCTTCAGAAGTCTCCGTTCTCCTTGCCTGGACGCTCTGACACTTCATACAACTTGTGGCTTCCAAAAAAAAGGACTCAGAAGAAATGTCATCAATCCAACGTTGCTAGACCTACACATTAATGTGTTAAAAAAATATTAAAAAGAAACTCTTGGCAGCAGCTATTTTACAAGCAGCCTGTCACCAATGCCACTGAGCTAAAAATAAAGAGATGGATAAAGCTCAACCCGCTGGGTATGTGGATGAGCAGTCGGGTACAAGCAGCAACCCCTGAGCAGCACTTGCGCCAGCCGAGAGTCCTGGACACAGGTCCCTGCTTCCTGCTACCTGGGCAGCAGGTCCAGGCTAACTGGGATCCTTCCAGGCTGGAACATTTCCAGTTGAGGAATGTCTCAACCATATTCCAAACGTTGATCATGTGGGAACCGACACACAGCACCCAGGAAGAGTCAGTGAGGGCAAGGCCTCAAGAAGGAAGAGTGACTTATGCAGAAACATCATCTATTCTTCTCAAAGAAACGTCCTAAGAACATTTGTATAAGCCACAGGTTCTTAGGAGGTGTTGCTGCAATCCTTTCTTAGGAGGTGTTGCTGCTTCCTTTCTTTTTTTTCCTTACTATGTGATGGAGCTAGCCTACAGTGTGTAAAATAAGGCAGCAACAGCCCACAATTTACTCGAAACACACCGTGTTCACACAGATTTTTTTGGAATTATGTGCTCATTGTTCCACCACAAAGACAGCACAAGCTTCAGCTGCTGCACCCGCCGCCAAGCTGTCCCAAAGTGCCTCCATGGAAAATCTTCAGCTGAAGCCACTGGTTTTCTGAATACTCAGACATTTAGACAGACTTCAGGAATGAGCATCATAAACAGAACGGCCTCTTCTACTCTCCCCTCCTCCTTGCAAAAAATATCAACGAAATAAGGCCACGTTCTTCACTTAAACACAAAGCAACAACAAAAAGCATCTACTTTGCTTTCTTTTTGCTGAACAGTTTGCAGGCCATGTTTCTACAGTCACACACACACTGATCTACTTCACTACTGTGCTTCAACACTGCAATTGCTATAACAGAAACAACGTCTCCCTTCTTACCCCACAATACAAACTGCCTCTCATTAATAGTTTACAAGTATGTTTACATGCATAGCTTCTTAAAGATAATATTAATCATTTCCTGAGAAGCAAGGCATATTTTTTTACATTAATTTTTGCCTATTAAGTATGAGATTGTGCCTGCAGTGTTAACAGAAGTATTAAAACATCTACAGCAAAGCACAACCAGTTAAAAAGCCGTGAAGAGAGAGCTTCACACAAGGCAACACAAGCTAAGAAGAAACCTAAACTCATTTGGGGTTTTTAGGCTTATTTTGAGCATAAATTTAGAAACAGTTCAAAGTTGCTGTTGTAGCCTTACCTTTACTTACCTTTCCCCAAAAGTCTGGAATATAAGTAAGAGTGAGCAGAAAGAGACTTGCATAAAGGGGATAATATAGTGCAGAATTCAAGCTACTGTAATACTTAAAATCCAAATGGGAATAGGCCATTGAGCTAGACAGGTCATGCTACCTTAATTTAGCAGAGACGTGCCTTCTAAAAGCTGGTTAAGGTTGCCCACAATCTAGTAAGACTCAGCAATGACACTTGGAAAGGAAAAGATTAAAGGAGAGCTAGAAGAACAACTGAAGATTGATAAAGAAAGAACTTCAAACTCTTCTCTAAATAAAGCACAAATATGCACAAGTGGCAAGAGGTCATATGAGACCCTGGGCCATCTTCATTGCTCCATGTAACGAACCACCCAAACAGGGCAGGAGAACAGAACTTGCTTCTGGAGGCAGATGATTGCCCATCTCTTCCCTGGACTATGCCCAGTGATGAGATCACTCTCCCCTTCCCGCAGATAAGCTGGAACCTGGGCATGCTCTTTCTTAGGAGAAAGCCTAAAAGCCTCGACCCAAGTTAACAGCATGATGCCACGCAGCACACGCCACAGAACGCAACCTTTATTGTGCTCAAATACAACTATGTGGAATTCACACCTTAAGGCAGCAAATCAGAGACAAGAAGGCATCCAGCAGTATCAGTTACCTCAAGTAACAGTGGAAAATGAGACCCATTGCTTCATACTAGACATGACACCTTTACTCTCCTCACCCAGATCAGACCCTGCCAAAGTAGAATGCCCCATAGTGAACTTCCAAAAACCATGACCATGACATTGTGGCTGTCAAAGCCACTCCAGCACTTTACAGGAAAGAGTCTTTCTGGCCTCCTTTAAAGCACCCTGAACATTCCTGTTGATAATTCATGAAAAGGTGGCATCACATAAGCATGTTTGTGCTAGTTTTGGCTCTAAACACCCAAGAGTAAATCTCATCTTTTCAAGCCTACTTAGGTACATAGACAGTTATCCTGGAGGAAACCCCATGTTTCCTCCCTATAAGGAAAGTCTTAGAGGGTCTGCACAGAAATAATGATTTTGGAGAAAAATTCATAGAAAACATCATCCAGAAAGTCTCACAGAACTCAGTACTCAGAAGATGAAGAGGGCACATCTAAACCACACCTGCTAAACCTAGGTAGACCAACACTTCGAATACCGTGTGAACTGTCTCTTCATCTTCAAGCACAACAGGCAGAGAAGGGAAACTGCAGTGATGAGTGGGATGAATTCTCTTTAGGAAAGTCAACAGTGGACTTAAGTAATATGTTGCCTTTGTAGCTTCCAGTAGTTAACAGCACCAGCACTTTCAAGAGTGGATTAAAGAAATTTATGGACTGCAGTGCTATAAACAGATAATAGTTTCTATTCCCACTGCTTGGGACAGACAAGATTGGAAGAGTCCTCAAAGCTGAAAGGGCGTCTGAAGAGGTATTTATCTATTTGTCATTGCAGAAGGAAGTTTCAGTTACTTTTACACATTCAGGATTGTGCTGTGATGCTGAGAGATGTCCTTGCTGCTAGTACAGGGCAGGGCAATAACAAGGGCTGAGTAGCCTGGTGCTGACGTAGTTTCCAAAGAGACAAGGCAGTGGCAAGGCAAGGGCTGTGGCTTTCAGCCACGCACAGCACACGCTGACAGCTCCAGATAGATGAGCTCTCAGAGGGAGGTCATCAGAGAAGCTGAGGTGAGGAATGTACTAATTAGGCAGCTCTCAGGACACCCGTGTGGTCAGAACAGTAAGGAAGGTCAAGGAGTTTGGGTGCAGATGCAAGATGTACTTTTATAGGAAAGCACAGACACATTTCACTCAATGAACTAACTTTTTTTCTTTTAAGAGAGTCCAGACTGGAAATGGATATTTTTACCATAACTCATCATTCAAAGAGAAAGAGAGAGATATCAAGAAGCTTTCAGCTATACAGCAAAGCTATTTCTCTTACCTTGCTTTGAGCACTTCATGGACTTTTTGTTCCAGTTCTAATCTTCTCTGCCGTTCTTTTTCTAGCTCTTGCCTTAACGTTTCAGCATTTGTTTCTTCTCTCAGCTTCCTGAGCTCTTCCTCTGTTAATTAATGGAAAAGAAAGATTTAGTTACCCTGAAGTAATAAAATTAATTAAACCTAATTAAGACAGATTAGGATTTTCTTTTTTTTTTTTTTTTTTAGTCTGTGCTACAATCAGAAAAACAAAGAATCAAAGACTGGAAAAAGACTTTATGAAAAGCACACAGGTGAACCATGTACAAAATACTTTAAAATTAGTAAAGCATATAGTGGCCCAGGCTTTGTGTTTGCTAACATTCCCATGCGATGCTCTATATTCTAGCAAGTTCTTCTCCTTCTGTTCACATATCGTCGTGTAAACGTACAGTAACCAGATAGATTCAAATATCAAAATTTTCTCACTTCACCCAGTATGCATCTTCCGAAAGTCAGAAGTGGTTGTGCAATTACTTAGAATAACTGGGACACTCTCTTTTCCCCCTTTGCAGGACATTCCTGTGCAGTATTCCCATCCATTTTATACACTGTGTAAGTTACGTGGTGGTAGATTACCCATATTCCTTGAACACTAAAAGATTTAAAACCCAGCAAATAAACACAGAAATCTAGAGAACGTTACAACCCGCTGGTGAGGCTACAGGCTTAACTCTACCAAACCAAGAAGTCACTGTTACTAACTCATCATTGATGCTTTGTTCATGATCCATGAAGTAAGACTTGGATCAGAGAATACGAGTTATTCTCTAACACCTAAAATTGAAATTTATTTCCAAGGCATGTTATGGTATGGGAGGAAAGGAAACTTGCTCTATTGCAAGAGGTTTTTCTCCTGCAAGTAAACAGGATGACACAGAGCTAATGGCTCATCTATACATGGAGCTGCTCCTAGTTGTATCTCCGCAAGGAATTTTCATGTCAACACAAAAACTGTGCTCATGACTGCTTTACCCTACGCTTTCAAGGGCTCATCTTGTTCCACAACAAGAACTTGTACACAGCTGAGAGGAAACATCTGTTGCACTTCAAATACCCTGGAACTTGCGAAATACCATGGAAATACCACCAAAAAAATCCTACACAAAATTAGATAGGAATGCTATCTTCTTGAGATCTTTAAAAGGGAAAAAAATCCTCATTATTTTTTTTTTTCTGCTTAAGAGGAAGTGACTCTGTGTTATGTGTACATAAGGAAACCAAAAGCAGCGTAAATCAACCTTGGTGCCCCTGAGAGTCTACTGAGGCTTCCTTAATTCCAGCTGCTCTGATTGCAGCACATCACATTCTAACAAAACAAAACAAAACCACAAAAATTCAACCTTCAAAGAAGGTTAAGTGCCAGAGATGCAGAATCTCTTTGTGGAAAATTAGAGTGTGCAACAAATGAGGTAAAACTCCTGCTTAAACAGAGCAAAACATCCCCAGAATCCAATCATGGCAAAGACCATCGAGAGCTTCACACTGCAGCATTCCCCAACTTCCCAACATGATTTTGCAATTTAAATCTACCCCCGTACAACTGCTCTGGCACCTCCCACTCTTTTCAGAGCGCTGCTTGTCGCTGCTTTGACAGCAGTGTGGGTCTCACTCTGTGAAACCTTCATGTTTAGTTCAGTATTTGCACAAAGTTTGCTAAGCAACAGAAGCCACAGATAAATTTCCTTGGTGCATCCGCTGATATAATCTATAATTTGGCTAAACTGAGCAAGTCCTTGATGAAAAGGACATTGCTCTAGACCTACAGATTCCTCTTGGAAAATATCCAAAATTGGCTACAAACAGCAGAGGTCACAGAGCCTCAAGAAGAGCCCATCAGAACATTTCACCACGAAGGTCTTGGTGCAGGATCTATCTCTTGAGCCTCAGTGACGCGTATCCTACTGGATGACTCCAGTGGAGCTCCTGGGGTTTGATCCTATCTAGCCAGCCTTGTTCCCACTGAGACTGACTAGCACCAGAATAACACTCAGAAAAGAAGGTACCTGAGACTGGGAAGGTATGAGAGCAAGCTGAATCCCTGCAGGTGTGGTAAAGCAGATGTTCCTCTTAATATAGGGATGGGAGGTGGATTACGGAGCCTCCTAACCAGCTCATTTAGCAGCTCACAGAGCAGCTTTCCTTGGTAGGTCTACAGATCTGATGCCAAATCCCCCAGCAAGACAGAATAACCAAAACAAATTTTCTTTGGAGCACAGCTAGAGCACAGACTGAAACCTGCTCTTTGTAGTTTCCAGACCAGTTTAGTGTCCAGTCTAAGCAGACCAAGCTAAAAACTAACCATGCCAAACGTGTACGTACGTCCTCTTATACTTTCCTGGGGAAACACTGCTACTTAACAAGACAGAAATAGCTCTTCTGTGCTAATAATGGCAAATCTCCCTGTAGCCCTCTGAACAAGACTACAGCTCAAGCACATTCCCTAACTGGCACTAGACACATTAAATCCCAACCACAAACTGTCAAACTGGATCTTGTCAGCAGCCCTGATGGAATCAGATGTTGGAGCAACATCTCCAGCAACAGGCAGATGATTTGACCCTTGTGAGACTCCTGAAAAAAGGGAGTATTTTAAGTTTGGCCCAAACACACCAACCACACAACATTACTGACCAAATGTAAATACACAAATTTTTGCCATCACAGATGCTGAAGAACTTTTATTCTTTCTTCTAAACACCAGGAGCAAACGGCAGTGCTGCAAACGGCACAAACTGCTCCACCATTTGCCATGAAGTAAGCACATGGAGAGAGAACATTGACCACCATGAAGTGATAGAGGAAAGAACCACAAAAAAAATCCCTAACTTCTTTTTTATGGTTACCTTTAGCTGACGTTCTTTGCTGGAGACAGACAACTTTGCAATTCCTAACTATAACTGCCTATAGATTCATTATGTATCATGTCCTGTTCTTCACAGCCCTGCCTCCCCTCTCCCAGGGTTCTGCCTCTACCAGAAATGACCTGTGAAACACAGAGACCACCAAAAAATTGCCATAGACCTATGCAAAAGACATCAAATATAAAAAAAAAAACCTTCTAATCACAGACACTGTAGGAGATTTTTCTTCTTTGCATGGCAGATGCTTGCAGAAGGGCTTGCTCCAGCAGCCCCTCTTTACCAGCTCTGCTTTCTCCTTTAAGTCACCTCCCAAGTTCACGTCCTCCTTCAAGCCTGGACTTTCACACTTTGCGTGGGAAGAAGGAAGCTGATGTGGTTAAAAGGACTATTGTTCTAAGGCGGGCTAGAAAATACCTTCACAGCAATTCTGCAGTGACAGTGAGGACAGGAACTGCTGCACGATTGTGCCATTCTCTGGTCACAAAGTCCTGCCTACTACTACAATACCAAATACTATGAGCAAATGACTCAGTACGATACTGTAAAATGACCCAATTCCAAACAGAGTTCTTCACGCTTCCAAATGCTGCCCTCATGATGTTGCCTTTGCTGCAAAGAGAATACATGTGATTTTGTCATTTAAAGTCCAGCATCTATTTATATTTTGAATGCTGCATCTGCACAGAAGATGAAACCAACCTATACTGCTCCTCTAGATTTTTGTTTTTATTTTCTTTACATAAAGAAAGCCACGACTCAAGTTGGCAGGCGTAACGATGGGTTTCGGATTTGCTGATCCCTCTTTAGCCAGGATCTTCCTCAGAATTTTATTTGGTGAAGCATGTTTTGTGTCCACGGATCCCACACCATGTCATTTAGCTTTTGATAAAAACTTGAGGGAGGGGATTATGCTCTGTTAAACTGAAGGCAGAAACTTTCAGCTTTTGACCGAGAGGGTGTTCTTCATGGCAGCATGGACACAAAGAGGAGTTTTTTTGGGGTTTTTTTTTTTTTTTTGTCCTCTATTTATCTTGCCAGTTGTATTTTGTGAAACAGAATTCAGGAGGGTACATATTGCATGAGAATATCTAGAAGCTCTACTGAGCCAAACTAAAAAGCCCCCGAATCCTGCCTGGATTTGGGAACAGATACCCTTCTGGAGGCACAAGCAGGGAGCCCGTCACAGCACCCTCCCAGCCACCACCTATTTGCAGCTCAGGGACTTTCTCTGGCAGCTCAGGACCCACCCAACATCACCACCTCACCAAGACTTATATATAAACCATTTCCAAAAACTTCCTCAATTTAAGAGTACAGCTCCAGGTTCCAGTGGAAGTGTTAATCATATTGAAAGCAGAGTTGTCTAAAGGCCCAATTTTGTCCCTGTAACCTTTAATAGTAAATGCAGTAATGACATCTGCCATAGCAAGAGTTAAATTTTGTCACAGAGATGGCTGGGCTAGGAGTGAAAATCCCAGAATCCCAGACCATATTTAAGGCTAATGTCCCATTGACATGCTTTAATTTTTACCTCACCCAAGGTTCAACTTAAGGATGGATGAATTGTAGGAAAAAAAGAATACAGTAAAAACATTGGAAGATACTCATTACTCTGACAAGTCTATACGAGGGTTAGGGGTGGGAGGGAAGCAGGACAGAAAGTGGCATTCAAAGCTAATGAGATAAGAAAGAAAAAAGTCAGCAAAACTGGACAACTGGAGGAAAAAAATATTCACTTTGTTTGCTTTTCGCCACTGAGAGACCCTTGTTTGGTCAACTGAACGGCTTTCCCTATTGTCAGGTTTCCTGTTTGAGCCTTTCACATAGAAGTCCCTTTTCCCTCTTACGGCTTGTAGGTGTCAAGAATGCCAGAAAAGAATACAGGAGACATTAAAAACCAACTAAATTTGTTTATCTAATGCATACTTTTCCTTCCTCCTACTCAATTTTACATTGGCATTTTGTGGAGTGGAGAAATGAAAAGGTTAAACATGGCAAAGAGACTCTCCACCGCTGGCATGTGAAGAGAAAGGTCTCCCTAACCTTTCTCCAGCTCACTCTGGTTCATCTGCACACATCAAAAAGAAGAAGTGACCTGTCACATTCAGAAAGCCATGCCCGTCTGCCTAAAAGAAAAGCTAGCACAAGTCTGCAGTTAAATAATCCCTCTTTCTACCTTTCTGATAAGCCAACTTCTGTCTTTTTCAAAAGCCGAGGTCCTG